TCCGCCCATTCTAACTCCGCCTTGCAAGTGGTGGCATATTGCCTTTGAGCCCTTCTAGTTTGAGTCTTGCTCAGGGGTACCGGTGGGAGTTTTGGCCTCTGCTTCTATACCATTGGCCCGCTTTTGTGTTTGGCACCTTTGAAAGTTGGAACACCACTACCGTTTGCGGGGCGGGGTCTTGATACATAGGCCACATCTTAGCTTTTGCCTTCCCCCACTGAAATCCACATGCTTCTGTTTTGGCTTGAGTCTAACGAATCAATGTCTTCACACCTTAGAGGGGCATGTTGATTTCTCCTCTTAGGCTGATATCGTGGCCTCTCGTACCTATCTTAATTTTCATGCAATGGCCGTTTGTTTGGCCTTACTTTCATTTTGCCTCTTGGGCTATGTGGGCTGTAATTCTCGGCCGGATTTGTTATCATAATCCTTTCAAAACTCCTAAGTCTGCCCACTTGGACTTGATCCTTGGGTTGCTCCTTAATCAACCCCTTGGTAGGTTCCTTAGTTAGCTTCTTGGGCTTTGACGGAACCACTTCGAGAGTTACCTCGCATTGGCATCGACTGCATAGCACAATGGGCTTTGGAGGTTCTTCCTTGGTCGAAACTTTTATTTCGAGAACCTTGGCCACCTCAAGGTACATTTTGGCCTTGCCTCTTGCCTTAGGGTCCGTCGGAATCTCCCTTGCCCTTCTTTCTAACTCTGCCTTTGCTGAGCCACACAAGTCCAACCTTTGCCTAGGTTGGTCTGGCCTTGGGAAATTGACATTCACCATATTGACTTGGGCATTTGGAAAAGGGTTCTGGTCGATGCCCATGATAACTTTCTTTGGAAACTTCATGATCTTCAAATCGATGAAGTCTTTTGGGAGGTTCCACTAAACTTGGAAATTTGGGCCGTCGTCGGCCTCCTTGAAGGCTTTAGACAAAGCCTTGCACATATGGCCCTTTTGTCGTAATCTCGGCCAAGTCTACCCCGGCTGACTCTTCTTCTTCTTTTAGTAAAATCTCTTGATCTCTTTCTTCTAATTTTATATCTTCAACGTCCACTGCGTGGACCGCCATAGTTCTAGGCCCGAAGGATTTGGCCGAATTCTTGTAAAAGGTTGGTCGAGGTGCCGGCGGCCCATTTTGTTGTTCATCCTTTAAAAGTGCTTCGTATCGGTCCACTCGAAGTAAGAGATCATAAATGTCACGGAACTAAATTCCATCAAATTTCCTTCGAAGGTCAAGCAACAATCCTCATTGGGCCAATTTCGCAAATTCGTACTTTGGCATATTAACCGTTCACCTAGCCCTTACTTCTCTAAATCGCCCCAAGTATTCTTGGACCGACTCATTTGGCTTTTGGCTTATCTTCACCAAGTTGGCCATTGAGACTTCCAACTCCGGCCGATAAAATTGCTCATGAAAGATTTTCTCCATGACTTGCCAATTTGGGATAGAGTTTCGTGAAAGTTTGACATACCACAAGAAAGCTGCCCTTGTGAGTGTACTTGGGAATAACCTTAGTTTCAAGGCCTCACGATGCCCAATCTCTGCACATTGGGTCGTGAATCGGCCAATATGTTCGACGGTCGATTGGAGCCCATCTCCCGAAAATAGTGCAAAATTCGGAACCTTGAAACCCCTCGAAAATTCCTCTTGATCAAAGTGCCCTGGATATGGCCTCCGGTAGACTGGCCTACCAATCCTCCTAGCATGGGGCACCATATCTTGAATCATTTGTTCGACCGCACCTCAGTCGATTACTAGATTCCTTTGCAATGGGTTGTTAGCATTCCCGTCGGGATTATTCCAACCACCGACTCTGGCGAATTGGTTGATATGAGGCCCAGCAAAATTGGCCCCGGCCCCTTGGTGAGCTTGTGGGCAGAATTAATTATAGGGCGGGAACACTTGGAATTGGTTGGCCCCCACATATAGGTTGTTGCCCATCGGGGGAACATTAACCGCCGGGGCAGGATTGCCCCCAGCTGGTGGATTAGGTTGGGGCGAATTCACCCCAAAAATATTTGGTTGGGCCTCTGGCTGAGGCCCCATCGCTGGCATTCTATTAGGCATCACTAGATTCCACTTTGGCCATTTTGTTGGCCTAGCAATCGATCCAATCACTCTTTGATCGAGTGGCCAAGGTTTGAGGAATTGTTTGAGTCGCCTCTTGCATTCGTTGATGCTTGAAGTTATTCGACATCTCCATTGTACAGATGAGTTGTTGGATTTCCAACGAAGTGGCATGATTTGGCCTGAACAATGGTCCTCTAGCGACTTTCGTAACGTCTTCAACCAACACATGGTCCGGACCGACGACTGGATCTCAGCCGAAATAATTTTGGTCAATGGCCGTGGTTCGGCCGAGACCATTTTGGCCCGGTTGAGCGGTCGGAATATTTTGTCGCTGAGTATACATGGGGAGTGAACCAACCATCTGATT